CCTGCGCGGGAAAGGTCTAGCACCGGGGGGGGGGGGGGGGCACCAGCCAGCCGGCTGCTGGAGTACGACCTGAGCATGCACACCTGTGACGGGAGGACCTGGCCTAAGAGGACGGGAGAGTCAGAGCAATCCCATCAGCCCACCGCAGGGGCTTCGGAGCCGGTGCCATCAGAGGGCGCAGACGCTGCTGTTACATGGGGTCCCAGGGTCAGTCAGCTCGGAAAACGAGAAAGGACAGAATTAAACATGACTCACTACAGAGCTTAGACCCTGCTGATGGGCATTTGTCAGTCTTCAAGAAAGGGTCCCAGCCCGGCCGGTGTGGCTCAGTGTCGACCCAACACCAGGAGGTCACCGGCTGGATCCCCAATCAGGACACACGCCCAGGTTGTGGGCCTGATCCCCAGTGGGGGGCATGCAGGAGGCGGCCAATCCATGTTCTCTCTCATCAATGTTTCTATTTCCCTCTCCCTCTCCCTCCCTCTCTCTCCCTAAAACCAGTAAAGAAAAAAACAAAGGGTCCCAGTAAGAGGTATTTTCCAAATTCATTTCAAAATATAATGCACTTTAGGCAGAGAACTACTGGGGCGTAGCTTAGCCTCTTCATGGGACACCTGTTCAGTGAGCTCCCACAAGATGTACGCGAGGACCTCATTCCACAAAACAGTCAGACACCAGGCGGGTCTTTCCCTCCGGAGCAGTGCACGGGGAAAGGCTGGTCTGAGACCCCGCGTGCGTGATGAGGCGCGTGAATTAGGAACAGAACACAATCCCGAAGACCGCGTGGCTCAGTCTACTTGTGGTGAGGCGGAAACCCGTCACAGAGGAGCCCAAACCCTCACCTGAGGACATTTTTGCATTTATCTTCAGATAGAGTGGGAGGGAGAGAGGGGAAAGAGAGAGAGAAACATTGATGTGAGAGAGACACATTGAGTGGCCACCACCCATATGACCCCAACTGGGGCCGGGGACAAATTGCAACTGCGGTACGTGCCCTTAGCGGGAACCGAACCTGGGACTCTCTGTTCCACGGGCCGACGCTCTAACCGCTGTGCCAAACCGGCCAGGGCGAGAAGCCCACTTCTGACCCAGGTTTCGTAGGAGGAGGCAGACATAATAAGATCAACCTGAAAACCGCCAAACACGCCTAACAGAGATCAACCAGGCCGTGACGTTAATGGACACGGCACGACTCACAGTCCTACCTTAATTTTCGACAGTTACTTTTACCACTCGTGGTACAGCTCTCCGTACTCCAGAGAATCTGAGAACCCTACCAGGCAGGTTAACCACCAACACGAACTAAGCAATAACCGAGCAAACAACAGAGGGGATCACCTGCGACGTAAGTTCAAGCCGTAGATGTAGATGACACCCACCCACCCAGAAAGGGCAGACACTCGGAAAGCCCCCAACACCCCGTCAGCACCACCGCGGGAGGCATCCTTTGCTAACTTCACCGGGAGGACTTTCAAACACCCCCGGTGGCATTTCCAGACGGTCAGAAGGCACCCAAGGAATCAAACTGGACACGTGGGTGGCATTTGCCATCTGGGGCGGCAAACACTGTTTCAGTGGCAACACCCCCTTCCCTGCCTCGCCGTCTCGCTGGCCTGGCATTCCTCGGCCCACGCCGGCCTAATCTCTGCGGCCCTGGCTGCACCTGTGAACCCGACCCGCCTAATCACACGGACAGATGGCAGGGGCCGAGCAGCAGCTGAGAACTGCCATCACTTTAAGTCGCGTCTCAGGTTTCACGGGCACCGTGCGGGCGGCGACCTGACAGCAGTGTCTCCGGGTACAGCTAACACCAGCCCTTAATCGCCGCCGAGCACCTACTCGGGGCGGAGCCGGTGTCATTCGAGAGCTGGTGACGGAGAACCTGGTTGGAGGTGAGGGCTGGCACCGTGAAATGGAGTGCTGTGCCACCCGGCCCTGCCACACGGCACCGGGCAGGCAGCTGGCACTGGGGGTGAAAACCCGCAGGTCCACGCAGGTAATCCTGAGCCGGGAGACAGAGACGCGGTTCCCTCCGCCTGCGGTCCCGTGGCCCCCACCTTGCTGCCACGTTATTCCCCAAAGACCGCATTGGGGTGTCGATGAGGATGAGCCGGACTGATGCCCAGGGCAGCGCAGTTCCCAGGCAGCCGAACTGGCGGGACCTGACGCCCCCCCCAGCAGCAATGACACCCACATCCTCGTGACTGACGGCGCCCGCTCCTCACTGCACCCCCACCCCTGGGCGCTGGCTGCGGGGCGCCGTGACTTGCACGCAGCTCCGCGTTCGCTCACGGATTCATGAGTTTCCACTCCGGACACAGGACTCGCTCTCCTCCACCCCGCGGGTGGCTGGGGACCCGACTGCTCCGGCCATTCGCTGGCCCTGCCGGGGCCAAAGAGCAACAGCAGCGGTGACGCTCCGGGGCGCTCGGCTCTATTCCTCACCGATAACGGCCTCCGCGGGCGGGCGCAGGTCAGAGGAAAGCCTTTCTCTCGCCTGTTACGCGGTTTCATGAGCAGCTTCCCTCACGGGCAACCTGTTCCCGGCGGACCCTGCCCGTGAATCCAGGGCCAGCGCTTCTCACACAGGAGCCCTTCCCATCGACTTCGGCGGTGTGGGTGGAGCCGAGGGTGTGGGCGGAGCCAGGGTGTGGGTGGAGCAGAGGATGTGGGCGGAGCCGAGGATGTGGGTGGAGCCGAGGATGTGGGTGGAACAGAGGATGTGGGTGGAGCCGAGGATGTGAGTGGAGCAGAGGATGTGGGTGGAGCCGAGGATGTGGGTGGAACAGAGGATGTGGGTGGAGCCGAGGGTGTGGGTGGAGCAGATGTGGGTGGAGTCAGGGTGTGGGTGGAGCAGAGAATGTGGGCGGAGCCGAGGATGTGGGTGGAGCCAAGGATGTGAGTGGAGCCGAGGGTGTGGGTGGAGCAGATGTGGGTGGAGCCAGGGTGTGGGTGGAGCAGAGAATGTGGGTGGAGCCGAGGATGTGGGTGGAACAGAGGATGTGGGTGGAGCCAAGGATGTGAGTAGAGCCGAGGGTGTGGGTGGAGCAGATGTGGGTGGAGCCAGGGTGTGGGTGGAGCAGAGAATGTGGGTGGAGCCGAGGATGTGGGTGGAGCCAAAAATGAGTGGAGCAGAGGGTGTGGCTGTAGCCAGGGTGTGGGTGGAGCCAAGGATGTGGGTGGGGCCGAGGATGTGGGTGGAGCCGAGGATGTGAGTGGAACAGAGGATGTGGGTGGAGCCGAAAATGTGAGTGGAGCAGAGGATGTGGGTGGAGCCAGGTATGGGTGGGGCCACAAGTATGGGTAGGTCTGAGGATGTGGGTGGAGCCGAGGATATGGGTGGAGCCAAAAATGTGAGTGGAGCAGAGTATGTGGGTGGAGTCGAGGCTGTAGGTGGAGCCAAGGATGTGGGCGGGGCCACAAGTGTGGGTGGGGCCGAGGATGTGAGTGGAGCAGAGAATGTGGGTGGAGCTGAGGCTGTGGGTGGAGCCGAGGATGTGGGTGGGGCTGACGATGTTCCCCTCCAACAAGTCCTCAGGTGAGGCTATGCCTGGAGCCGGCCTCAAGCTTTCTCTCGCAGGAAAGGCAAGTCTGTCTGAACCAGAACATTCCCCTTCTCCCCAGGCTGCCAGGAGGGTCGGGGCACAAACCCAACTCCCCCCTGAAGAAACACGTTACCCAGGTGCCTGACCAGGCAAATGTTCTCTTCCTCCCCTAAAAAGCCCTGGCCGATTTCGTAAGTAACTGTCTTCATTGAGGCCTTGTTTAACCGTGTTCAACTGACTGAAATCCTCTTGAGAAAATGTACACCCTTGTCCGAGCAAACAATGCCAGGGACTAACATGAAATCACTTTGGGAACATTCCAGCCATGTTATTGGAAAATACAAGTAACACTATATTTTATCTTTTTTTTTTTTTTTTTCAGTTGAGGATATTTTCACATTTATCTTCACATAGAGGGGAACGGAAGGAGGGAGGGAGAGAGACAGAGAGAGAGAGACAGAGAGAGACATCGACTGGTTGCCTCCCTCAGGACCCCGACCAGGGCCAGGGACTGAACCGCAACCAAGGTACATGCCCTTGGCTGGAATCGAACCTGAGACTCTGGTCCACAGGCCTACGCTCTAACCGCTGACCACACCGGCAAGGCCCTTTATCTCCTGTACTGAACGCTCACGAGTACTTTCCGAGCATCACGCAGACATGAGCTCACTGCTCGTAGCATCCCCAGCTGTTATTACTCCCGTGCCACAGCTGGAGAAACCAAGCACAGGATGAAATCGCTGGCCCGCGGCCGGCCAGCTCAGCAGGGGTGGTGCAGGGTCGGAGCCCAGGCTGCCTGGCGCTGAGCGGCGGAGCTCCTGCCACGGAAAGGCCTTGTGTGTCCGTGCTCGGTGCCACCTGCCTCCAAACAAGCGACAGCAGCCATGGGCCCGTCTGTCTGAGAGTAAGCACACTGTCCTCGTGCCCTCTCCGCAGGCGATGACTTTTCAAAAGCCGCCATTTCTCAGCCTCAGCACCGTCCCCATCGGTCTGTGCTGTGGGCCGTTCTCTACATTGCAGGATGCTTCGGCAACACGTCTGGCCTCCACCCGCGAGATGCCACTAGCACCCCCGCCCGTATGACACCAAACGTGGCCCGGTGGCCCTGGGGGGGGGGAGAAGAATCCTGCCCCCACACTGAGAACCACGGGGCACGCCAGGTACCACCCTGGTTATAAAGAAAACCAGGAAGGCACACGGTTCTCCGAACAGGGAGAAACAGGGAAAGAGAAATCCAAGGAGGAAAAGCCACAGCTGCTGCCCACAGAGAGCGGCCATTGACACGGTAAGAAAGGACACACAAGGAGAAGGGTGCAGACGTGGTTTATTCTCAGAGCTGAAGTCAGGGAAGCAGACACAGCAGAGAGGGGGAGGGGCGCAGCATCGCCAGGAGCGGACAGGACAGGTCAGATCGGTGCGGCCTCCCTCGGGGACGGCAGGGTGGCTGCTACTTACTGTTGTTACTGTTCTCGCCGACGAAGTCCTCAGGGCCGTCGGCATCGTCCTCATCGTCTCCGGACGCGATGGCATCTGTGTGCGAAAGAACATACCCGTCGCTGCGTTTCTGCCGAGCAAAAGGCTGCCGCCGCCGAGAGCTCAGTCCCTGGGAGGGTCAAGAACCCAGGAGCCCGCCAGGCAGAAAGTCTAAGGCCGTGTTTAGTTAAGACGGTCTTGATGGCTTCCAGAGTCTCTCCATGGTCACAGTTGGTCCGTGTTATGATTCTCGGTGTTTTCTGTTTTCACACTGTTTAAACATTGTGTAAAACGGGGTATACAGAAACTGGATTGGGATTCCAGTCCCCAGCAAATTTACGGATTGCATCCTCTCCAAAGACCCTGCCTGGCAAACCTCGTGGCGCTCAGGGTCCCCTTCAAGGAAGGAATTCGTCCCTAGAAAAACTCAGCCGCTGTGTGGCCTTCGAGCATTTACTAACATTCTGGAAACAAAACTTTAAACTCGGCCACCAGGAAGGGGGCCCGTGCAGTCCCCCCCACAGCACGAAAGAAAAATGGAGAGAAACGCAGATTTTAATAAAAGGAATCAGCAATCTTCAGCATCCAAATTTCGCTCCTATATTCTAAATGCCAAGGACGCCGGTGGCATGAGTGGGGAGTGTGCTTTTACTTATATAAAAGTGTGCCATCTTGAAAGAAAAATGTTACTGCGCACATGAGAATCACTATGATTTCAGTTGCCCAATAATTTTTTTTTTTTTTTATCTTGAGATAGAGCAGGAGGGGGAGAGGGAGGAAGACAGAGAGAGAAACATCGACGTGAGAGAAACACATCGAGTGGTTGCCACCCGCACAACCAGGGCCGGGGACAAACTGCAACCGAGGTACGTGCCCTTAGCGGGAAACTTGTCCAATAAAATTTGACTCAGCCCTGGTCGGATTTGCTCAGCAGTTAGAGCGTCGGCCCGCAGACCACAGAGTTGCGGGTTCGATTCTGGTCAAGGGCAGGTACCGGTTGCAGTTTGGTACCGTCCCTGGCCAGGGTGGTCGTGTGGGAGGCAACGCAGTCGATGTGTCTCTCTCACATCGATGTTTCTCTCCCCCCCCCCTTCTTCCTCCCTCCCACTATCTAAAAATCGATGGGAAAGCGTCCACGGTGAGGGTTAAGAAATAAACACATGCGAACTGACCCAGCACAGAGCAGAGGGCCCGCAGGCCGACTCACCTGTGACATTGACCACGAAGTACACGGTCTCACTGTCTACAGTCCTAGCGGCAGTACAAGCATAGAGGCCGGAGTCTCTAGGCGTGGCACCTTGTATCTGCAAGGACTCCCCAATGAGCACTGTCCTATTGTTGGGCCCCAAGTGCACCCCATCCTTAGTCCAACTGATCACGGCGGCATCTCGCAACCCGCAGCGCAACTCGAGCGGCTCCCCGGGCGCGGCCACGTAAACTTCTGGCTGGGAGATTTGGTATTTGGTTGGTGGCTCTGCAGAAGGCGGGAGAGAGAAGACGGAGACAGATGGGAAGGAGCAGGAGAGAGCGGCCAACAAAGGTCAGTGAGGCCCCCGTGCTCCCCGGAGAGCAGGCCTCTCCCACCACCCAGGAAGCCAGAAGGTGGCCCTGGGCACAGAGCTGAGTGTCTGAAGCGGGACCCGGAGGAAGCGCCCAGCAGAAGCTGCCCACGCGGTCACCACATAGTGCAGGCTGAGCCGAGCCCAGACTCAGGGTGGACGGGCATCGGACAAGGAAACCTCCCAGCCCGCGGCCAATCCACAGCCTGCTTGCGGTCCAGAGAGTCCATTGTGTGGCATTTTGATGGTGAGGACACATGTTTTACAAACTTTCTCATTCAACATGACTGCACGCCTGTGTCCACATGCACGCACACGCACACGCATTGTGCTAGACTTTGCCTGTTGTCACAAAGCTGAGCCTTAAAATGCCTCGAACTCGAGAGAAGCAAACGGGTCCTTCTACGACGCTGCCGGCAGAGTGTCCGCAAGCTCTCAGCTCAGACGTGAACTGCGCGGACTACAATGAGTTCTGGGCTGGGTAGGCCGGGACAAGACGTTGTTCTTAACACGATGAAACCCTAGAGAGCTTAGCACCAAGACACAAAGCAAACGCCCAGACAGCTGGGAGGCGGACTCCAGGGCTCCTGAAGGGGCCTGGACCAAGGCAGCAGCGCCCTACACACCCCACTCCATGCGCAGAGCTGGCCCCTCCCTGCCCACCTCCACCCCACGCCGGGCTCTGCCCCAGCCTCCACCCGTGTCCCCTCAGGGCTATTCCTCCCTTCTAGCCTCCCTCTAACCCCAAGTCATCCTTCAAGGCCCAAACCCCACAGCCCCTCCTGGGTGAGGCCATCGGTCACCTTGACCAGAAGGGAAGTGGAGCCGCCCTCCTCCTATGTCCCCACATCCCCAGCTCCTGGGGGCGCCACCTGCCTCGTGCTCCGTCTTGTGAGGAGACACCGAGGTCCCAGAGGAAGGACCTGGGCTGTCTGTGCACGCGCTGGCCTCCTGCGGGGCCCTCCTGTGCAGACACATGGAAGGTGGCTGTGCACATAACCACAGCCCCCGACACGCAGAGCAGGTGGCACCGCGCCTGTGCGCAGAGGTGAGAGGAACACAAGCCTTTGAGGGGAGCAGCAAGAGCCGCTGGCTGGGGCCCACGAGAGTCTGCGCCAAGCAGCTTCGTTCCCCCCGGTGAGGACTGTGAACGGTACCCGAGTCCCAGGCCCGGATGGATGGCTCCCAATCTGGGCGACATCGACAGGCAGCTGTTTTGTCCTCTGAGTGTGGTCTGCACAAGCCTCCCAGATAAGACAGAAACAAAGTCACTTCATGCTTCGGCCACTCCGGGTTCCAGAAACCCTCCTGCCCACAGCCCACACGGAAGGCCAGGGTCCCCAAAGGGCTGGGTGTTGAGCAGAAACGGATCACCCCAACGGAAGGAAGAAAATGGACGCCACACTTCACAGGGACAAACAGCCCCAAAAAGGGCAGAGAAAGCCCAAGCAGCTAGCCAGTCAAGTTCCACATTTCTTCTTCTCAGTCAACAGTTACGCACTGAACCCCACCTACGGGTCGCACATTATTCTGGGTGCTCAGGCCGCGACAGCCCGGGCAATGAATGTGTGGACTTTGCCCTGGCCGGCGCGGCTGGCTGCAGCGTCATCCCACCCACAGGTGTCAGGTCCGACCCCCCGGGAGAAAACCAACCAATCGCCGCTTCTCACGTCAATGTTTCTCTCCCTCCCTCTGCGGAAAGAACACACATGCACGTGAGGTGGGTGGACCTGCCAGCAGCCCCACAGAGATGGCGGGTGAGGGCTCCTCCTAGAGCAATGGGCACACTCCGGCCCCGGGCCAACCTGGCGCCGCCACCTGTTTTTGTAAACGAAGATGTCCCGGCCATGCCTGTCTGTCTGCCTGACGGATCCCGGTGCTGTCCCGTGTGGGGCTGGGCTGACCGCCGGAGACACAGACGGGCTCACCCTCCACAGCCTGCTCCCCAACGTCTGCACAGGGCGGCCAGGGACGTGCGGGTAGGGTGACCGTGGTACTCAGGCCACACCTCCTGAGGCCGTCTACACCTGGTGCAAATGAACTGAGCGACTACGACCCTGCCTCTCGGACCATCTCCAGCAGCCTCAAGGCACCAGGACTGAGGGTCCGAAGGCAGCTTGTTGAAGCCGAGATCAGATGTCATTTGGGCCCAACAACCACTTACTGAAACAGCACCCACAAGGTTAGAATGAATTTACACTGATGAGCCTGTGACATAAAATACTTGTTAGGACCACATTATGTCATCAGCAAGGCACCACCGAGGGTGTCATGGGACTTGCTTTCCTGAGTCAGAACTGGCGATGAGCAGGGACCCGCTGGACAAACACAGGAGCACGTCCCTCTCCGGACAGACTGGGACCCTCGGCGCCACCACCTGCCCTGTGCCCACCTGCCCTGAGTCTGCCTCCCCTGAGCCCGCCGGCCCACCCTGGGCCTGCCCGCCCTGCGCCCACCCTGGCCCGCCCTGTGCCCGCCTGCCCTGCGCCCTCCTGCCCTGTGCCCGCCTCCCCTGAGCCCGCCGGCCCACCCTGGGCCTGCCTGCCCTGTACCCTCCTGCCCTGCGCCCACCTGCCCTGAGCCCTCCTGCCCTGCGCCCTCCTGCCCTGCGCCCTCCCGCCCTGCGCCCTCCTGCCCTGCGCCCGCCTGCCCTGTGCCCGCCTGCCCACCCTGGGCCTGCCTGCCCTGTACCCTCCTGCCCTGCGCCCGCCTGCCCTGTGCCCTCCTGCCCTGAGCCCGCCTGCCCTGAGCCCGCCTGCCCTGAGCCCGCCTGCCCTGAGCCCTCCTCCTGCCCTGAGCCCTCCTGCCCTGAGCCCTCCTCCTGCCCTGCGCCCGCCTGCCCTGAGCCCTCCTGCCCTGCGCCCGCCTGCCCTGCGCCCGCCTGCCCTGAGCCCACCTGCCCTGCGCCCTCCTGCCCTGAGCCCATCTGCCCTAAGCCCACCCGCCCTGCGCCCTCCTGCCCTGCGCCCGCCCGCCCTGCGCCCTCCTGCCCTGCACCCTCCCACCCTGCGCCCTCCTGCCCTGAGCCCATCTGCCCTGCTCCGGCCTTCGGAGGCAGAAGCCGGGCTGTCGTGGGCTGCGGAATTGCTCTAGGACGGTTTAAAAAGTAAGAGAAGCAACACGCTTGCAATTTTGTTGCAGAAAAACAATCTCTGCCGACAAAAGCAGGGTTGTGGCTTCTCTCCTTTCAAAGAAAAGCATTTCACTGAGGATTTTCCTTCACGTGAAACAGGTAAACCACCAAGTCCTGCCGAAGCCAGTACCACCCAAGGACGGCACCCCTGAGGGCTGGGGGAGGAGCACAGCCCAGTGGGCCCTCCAGGACCCAACAAGCCGAACAGTGTGAGCCTGACCTGCCAACAGGCAACTCCAACCGCCCCGATCGCCGGGACCTGCAGCCTGCCTGCTCTGAAGAGGCCCAGGACCACGTGGGTCTGGCCCCCGCAGACACAGAACGACTTCCCCGGCAGGCTCCCAGCTCAGCGCGCCGGTAAGCTGCCTTGATGCACTGGAAGTGGCATTGTTTCCGTAAAACCCGGTCAAAACCGTTACCCAGTTTTCCAATTAGATTATAAGCTTCAAGGATAATAAACTGACTCCCCGAAACACACCGATAAGATGACGATGTTCACCCACAAAACTGAGCCATCCGCCTTCAAAGTTCGAAACCAGCAACTGTGGCCGTGGTGGATGCAGGTGTATGTTCTTCCCTCGCCCAATGATCATCACGCACAAGGCTCTGGGGGTCTGCGGAGCCCTGGGCGAACCTCAGAACCCAGCAGCATCCCCAGATCTCTCGGGAGGACGTCAGGGCATCTGGTGGGAAAGGACAAATGGGCCATTGGAAGCAAGAGAAAGGGAGGAGGGATGGAGAAGGGTTAAGGAGAAACACCACCAAGAAGAGAGTGGAAGGGCCAAGGGGCACATGGGGGGCAGAATGCCACCATGGTCCCCTCCAGCGCCAGCCAGCTCACAGGCTCCCGCAGGGAAGACCACTCCAGCCGAGAACACGGGCCGAGCCTGCCCCTGTGCCCCGTGAGGCTTTGGGGTTCCTCCCCTGTGCCTTCGGGTGATTCCCCTGCAGCTCCCTGGGTGGCTGCTGGCATTTACCTCCCGCTGTCAGTGGGGCACGAAGACAACATGCCAGCCCCTCTGACCTCCTGGTGCGGCGTCAGGCTCCCCACCTCGACCCCTCCCACTACCACAGGCACCTTACCTGGCCCAGCAAGGTGGGCGACCTGCCCTGCGGAAGGAAACAGCCACGCACTCCCCGGAGGTCTCGACAACGCCTGACAGCGTGTCCTCGGTTACTCTCTCCGGCGCCCTGGCAAGTGTCCAGCCTTTCTGATGCGGGGGTGTGGGGAGAACCCCCCAGGGCGCACAGTCCCACAGAGCATGCCCTCAGCCCTCCTCACCAAAACACGAGGAGGGTTGCACAGCCGCCTGCCTCACAGCGGACGCTCTCGCAGACAGACAGACAGAGAGCATGTCCCGGAACATCTCTCGCCGCGGAGGCTGACACGTGAGCAAACAGCAGCAGCGGGGACGCGGTCACCGAGCTGCTGGGCAAACAGGCGACGCGTTTACCTTCTGGGAGGGCCGCGCACCCCGGCTCCCCCTCGCCACGCCCGCCTGCCGGACCAGCCCTGCCCTGCAGCTGCGTCCCTTTGACCCGGACCCCCAGACGCTGCAAACACGGGACACGGGACAGGGGACAGGGGCCAGGGGCCAGCGGCACGGGGATCAGCTCCTTCATGAACTGAGCGCTCTGATAATTCAGCAGCAGAAGAAGGCACCTCCACTCCCGGCCACAGATGAAAGGCATGAGTCACCCACACAGTGTGTGACCCCTGCCCTGAGCCGGGTCCCCTCCCTCCCCTCAAAACGCCTCAGGTCATTATTCCTGGGAAGCTAT